CCGAAGACGGTCGGGAGAAAAATTCCCCCCCCCCCCCCCCGGCGACAAACACCCCTCCCCCATTCGGTCGCTTCCCCCTGCCTCCCGTGGAGAGGGGGCGGGGGAGGGGGGGGGGCGCAGGAGGAATGTAGAGCCGGGTGGGCTTGGGCATGTGTGCGCCCCCCGCTTTCGGGTATTTGCGCGGCCGCGGCGCCCCGGTCCCCACCTCCGTCGTCCGCACGCACCCTAGCTGGCTGGCGCGACACATTACCTACCTCCCGCGAGGAGGAGGAGTGCCCCATTCCCGGGGAGGCAGCTCCCCCTGACTCCTCGCGCGCGCGTGTGTGTGTGTGTGTGTGTGTGTGTGTGCCCGTATGAGCCGGGAGCTGAGAGCCCCCACCGGGGGTTGCCGCACACGCCTCCCGCCCTCCTGCCGAGGGGCCTAAGATGCTGACTGGCCTCGCGCCGGGCGGCTGATATCACCCGGGACAATGGTGTGTCCCTCCCTCCCTCGGGCGTGCGGGTTTCACTGAGCCCCCCCGGTTCTCCCCCCATGCGGAGGGAAAGAGCTTCGTACGGGTGTGTGTGTGTGTGTGTGGGTGTGTGGTTGAAAGGGGCCCCAAGGGGGGATCCCCGGGACAGCGAGGGGCCCACCCCTGCAGCTGCTGCCACCCGGGCGCGCAAGTGACGCTCAGCCCCCCCCCCGGACCCATGAGCCGGGGCTCGGTCCGGGCTCCTCTGCCCCCCGCCCGGCGTGTTGGGGGCTCGTGCCGTGGGGCCGGGGCCGGCCACTCAGGGGGGGCAACGGCTCGGCCGGCCGCCTCTCTCCCCGCCGAGCAAGGCCCATACCCCCCCTCCTAGCCATATGTTGCCCCCCCCCCCCCCTCCCCCCGCCCCCGGTCTTGGCCCTGTTCTCCTCATCTCCGGTCATTGAATGTGCTGCTTTGCAGGTGACTCAGCAACATGCATGTTTTCTCCGCTCTGTGCACCTCCGGGCCTGGCCGCCGCCCAAGGGCCCGCTCGAAGCCCCGCCAGTGGGGAGG